ATTGATCGTCTTCGAGATGGCTACAGACCAGCTGCCAGGAGAGGGGCTGTTTTATTCTTTGTTTTGTCTGAAATGGCGCTTGTCAACACCATGTATCAGTACTCACTGGTCTCCTTCTTAGAAGTTTTTGGACTCTCTCTTCAGAAATCCATGCCCAGTGCTTTTCTTCCGACGAGGCTACGGAACATCATGGATATGCTGACTTTCAGCACCTATAACTACGGCTGCACAGGTCAGTGCAATTTAGCGCTGGGCTGATAACCGTTGTTGTGCCATTGTTCGTTAAAAGCTGTGCCTGCAGCTGGGTTATCAAAGAGACGACTTGTCAAAACAGCAAATTCACTGATGTTGGGTTCTCAGTATTGGTCCTGGCGTACACTTTGCTCCCTGCTATTTCTTTTTGAAGAAACTATGCGTGTTACCAGTGGCACTTCTGAAGAAATGCTTTTCTTAATACAGTCCCAGCTATGGGCCTCCCATCCCTGGTGGGTGGTTTGACTCTATAAACCTGATCCAAAGCCCCATCTTGTATCACCCTGATCTCTATGGGATGTTCAGATGCAGGATGTGGTTTTAAAAACTTACAGTTCCACAAGTTCTAGCAGCTGATTTTTGAAAATACTGTCTTTTTGATGTAGGCTTGTTTGAGAAGCACAAGTTACTATTCTCCTTTAATATGACTGTCAGGATAGAACAAGCTGATGGCAGAGTTCCGCAAGAAGAACTTCAGTTCTTTTTGAAAGGTAAAGTGAATATTTATATATAAATAGATACGTACATGTAGCAATAGCTAAAATACCTTTCCAAGCTGGATTTTTGTCTAGATGTGAGGTGCTGTAAGAGCTAGCACCTAGAGAAACCGCTGAAGAGAGCTGCACTATGTTGGTTTACACAAATTCTGGATTCTGCTCTTTCTGGATTTTTCTTCATTAAACAGTGAAGAACCAAGTCTTTCTCTGCAGATATTGACAAATCTCGTATTAGCTGATCGTTAGGATGTTACCTGAGAAAATAATCTTTAGTTATTTTCTGACTATGTGTAAATCATTTTAGAAACGGCTGCAAAGATACAACTCTGGCTTCTGCGAGCACTTGTAAAATGCCATCTTTTCTTCAGCAGACCAGTTTAATCTTACAGTGCTTCCAGAACCAAATTGCCAGTTGGTTTCTCTGTGCAGTGGGACTGTATGTGTGGTCAGGTATTGGAGAATTTACGACGTGGACGTTCACTCTTGTTTCTGAATGTAACTAGGCAATATTTCCCTGGAGAAGAGTGCCCGAAAGAAGCCGTATGCCTGGCTTCCAGATCAAGGCTGGGAAGACCTAATTTCCTTGTCTGAACTATTTCCTGAGAAATTTGAATCTCTTCCAGATGATGTGGAAAACAATCCAGATGTATGGAAAAATGTACGTGCTTTTCTGCAATCCTTTTCTCTCTCCTTGTTTTTCTTCTGGTATTAAGTGTTCAAGTGTGATGCAATGTGCCACAGCACTCGGCAGGAGGCATGTCACCACTGCCTTTTTCTGTGAAGGCCTTGCTTTTCTTCTTGACCTCAGTTAGTGATTGGCTTATCTCCAGAAGAATTAGGGCTCTTATTTAAAAAACAAAGCCAAAAAAATCTTCCCTGGTATACTCTAGATGTTTTATTTTCCAATCCAATGCCTTAGATTATCTGCCCTGTTGAAGTCAGTGGAATTTTAGCTGTGATTTTAACAGTCAACATTTCACTGTTATTTTTGTGCTGCTAAATTGCATTTTGATCTTCTTGTGGCAGTAAGTTTTATAGGCTAGTTACAAACACAGACTTTCCTTTGTTCTACCTTTAATTTCAGTCCGTGTCTTCTTGCTTTATAAGAATTCTTTCTGTAAGCAATCCATTAGTACTTCTTGTTTGACATGCTGTTTTCTATATTTTAAAATAATTACTTGACATAAAATGCAAGTACAAATGCGTTTGTGGACTTGAACACTTTATCCTGAAAAAGTTGATTCTTTTACCTTCACTTAATCTTTTAATATTTCTTTGCAGCTGATTGACTTGCATCTTTGCTTTGTGTCTCTTGGCCCCTCGTTAAGCAAAGTGCTTTTGTCTGCTTTCCTAGGAACTGTGTTGCTAGAGCCGTTTGATTCATTTGTGTTGTCTCCCATCTTTTCTGGCCAGTGGTATGATACGGACGCTCTGGAGCAGATGCCGTTCCCCATGCAGTACCAGGACAGTCTCACGAACTTTCAGAAGCTCCTGCTCTTACGCTGTTTCCGTGTGGACCGGCTGTATCGGGCAGTAATGGACTATGTTACTCTGACAATGAATGATAAGTAAGTAGTCTCTTCTGTCAAAGCCAAACCCTGCAGTTCAGGTATTTCATGCAGAACTGGAGCTGTAATCAACTATGGAAATGACTTTGTGATTTGTCTAAACAACAGAGCGTGATTTGTCTTTGTATCATTTGCATTTGCAGTCTGCAGTGAGCTTTGATGTTTGTGTAAAAGGCTCTGTTACGCAAGATGGCTGCCCTTGCCTAAATTAACAATTTGTTGTGCTTCTTTTCTTGCCAGGTTTGTGCAGCCCCCTGTGATCAGCTTTAAATACATCTTTGAGCAGAGCACTCCTTCATCCCCGATTGTTTTTATCTTAAGTCCTGGCTCTGATCCTGTCAGTGACCTGATGAAACTGGCCGAGAATATGGGCTTTGGAGGGGAGAGACTCAAACTCTTAGCCATGGGACAAGGCCAAGAAAAGGTGCGAGGGTAGGGGCGTGCTGTGTGCAAGAAGTCAGTAGGTGAACTGCAGATCGTGCTTCTAAGGTTGTGGGCCCATTGATATTTTCTTTGCAAAGCTCTGCCCCATTTTAAAGGGAGTTACTGTGGGGTTCAGATGGAGCGCACGGTTTGCCAGCCTGGGAATAATGCTTTGTTGTAATGTGAAAGGGGGCATTTGACTGGTTTTGTGGGTTTCCCCACTGCTGCTTTTTCTGTCTTTCCCGTAGCTTTCCTTTTTGTTATGGACACTAAGGCAGGGATGACACAAGTTTAGCAGCGGACTGAACTTGCTGTGATTTTAATCAGTGGGAGAACCCCTGTTAGACTCTTTCAGAGCATTGCTTCCTCTGATCTTCGCCCTCTTCTGGGCCATGCACACTCCTGTACTGTTTTGAAGTACTTCAGTGCTCTGCATGACTTTAATTTCAAAAGAAATTAATGAAATAAAGCATCACAGAGCAACTTCTTGTGGCATTGGAAATGGTCCGTTCTCAGCAGGGAGCATTCTGGTAATTCTACTAAAACTAACCAAAAGGCTGAGAGTGCTTGCTAGCAGGATGAAATCCACTGCACCAACCCATCAGAGCCAGTTTACTTACAGGATAAAGGGGGTTACTCACAGCCAGTTCTTTCCCTCTCTTAAGATTGCTCTGCAGATGCTGGAGAGTGCAGCGGTTCACGGAGAGTGGCTGATATTGCAGAACTGTCACCTTCTGGTGAGGTGGCTTATCAGTCTGGAAAAGGCCCTGGAGAAAATTACAGATCCTCACCCCGACTTTCGCCTCTGGCTGACTACTGAGCCGACCAAGGGCTTCCCGATGGGAATTCTGCAGAAGTCGTTAAAGGTACTGCGAAGTGGGGAAACCCCCGTTAGGAGGGCATGGCCTGCCGCTCTGATTCAGCAAAACAGCCTGGCCTTGGGGGGAGCAGACCTGGATGCAGCATGTTGAGTTGGGCTGTGTGTACTGGCTTTTTGTCTTTCTGAGCCAAATCCTTTTTTCATCGTCCTGTTTAACCTTATGGTGATTTTTCATTTGGGCGAAAGCCGTTCAAGCAGAGTTTGGTTTTTTTTGAAGCAGTTATTTCAGAATGCAGGTTTGTGAGTAAACCTGGAAATGTGACAAATGCTCTTCAGGTTCAAACGCTGCCACAAGTGAGGAATATCCAGGGAGACAGAAATAGTCCTGTCAGTCCTGATGCTGAAGTGCACAGCTGAGGTCTGTGCCCAGCCTGGCCATAGTGTCAGTGGAGCAGACGTCGTAATAGGATAATGGTTTCCAGCTGCTACTTCAGGCTGCAGCATTTATCGCAGGCAAGCTGAGCCGGTTATTTTGAAGGCACAAGCCATGATTTGTCCTAATGTTCTTTTCTGTGGCTGCTTTACCTCTGTTGTGGTGAAGCAGTCCTGCAGACAGAATTAGTTTTATTTCGCAGATTTGAAAGCAGTGGCGCGACAGATCCAATGCGCGTGTAAGTGACAGCTCTGGAGTATTCCCCTCCAGCAGTGCCTAGCTCTGCAGTGCGGAGAAGTGAGGGTGAACGTATCTTTGAGACTGTGAACGTGCAATTTGTAGGTGTAAACATGAGCAGTGAGAACGAAGGTTTTGTAGCACTTTGAAAAAGCTTCCAGGAAGCTGCCTCAGCCTCGGTTTGATCATTAGCAAAGCAGTCTTAAAGCCTGTTAAACCATCATACTGTGGTGATACGTGGGATGCACCAAAATGTGCAAAGAGCTGATACTTCAGTAAATTAGATCTTCGAGTATGATAAATATTAATGTCTTTCCAATAACTTGACTATTTCTAAAATAATACCAAGTGTGTTTATCTCTTAAACTTAGAAGGCCTGTTCCATGTCTTTACTTAAGAAAAAATTCCATACTGATATGAATATGGAAAGCTGCTTAAAATTTTCAGGCATGCATCATATAGCGTTCGTAGAGCGTACTTACTGTATTCACAACGTATTTTCCTGAGGCTGTCGAGTAATTGATGTCTTCCCTAATTATTTCGATAGGTTGTGATAGAACCACCTAATGGTCTGAAGCTGAATATGAGAGCCACCTATTTCAAAATGCCCCAAGAAGCCTTAAAGCAGTGCCCACATCCTGCCTTTAAATCCTTAGTCTACGTCTTGGCATTTTTCCATGCAGTTGTTCAGGAGAGAAGGAAGTTTGGGAAGGTTGGCTGGAACGTACCATATGATTTTAATGAATCTGATTTCCAGGTAAGAAAATAATTACAACAGCTTTTGCATTCTTGAGTTGTTCAGATTACTTTTTTAAACATAGAATCTCTCCAGCTTTAATCCTTTCTCACAGTAAGATTTTGCTTCATTTTTTTTTCTGCTGCTGTAGAGTCATTTAGACTCCTGATCTTCTCTAATGTCAATTTTGGCCACTAAAAATTAATCAGATTCCCAATCCTTTGTGTTTATGTTGCCTCTCTCATGAGTCTCTTTTCTCAAGACGATTTATACTTAACATTTTAATTATTTGAGAAGGAAATAATTGTTAGTTTTCAAACAAGAGTTACATTAAATAAAATCTATAAATACAAATAGCTGGTTTATGAATCTTCTTATCTCACACATTCCAACAACTTTATTAGGTCTGCATGAAAATTCTTGACACGTACTTGACAAAAGCTTTCCAACAAAATGATGATGAAATCCCCTGGAGCAGTCTCAAATATCTTATTGGTGAGGTGAGTGCCTGCAGTGTCACTGAGGAACACTTGATGGTGAACGAATCCAGACAGATAAAGCTTCCTTTCTGCAGGGGCTGCAGTTATCAAGTAGAGCTGGCCGAGAATCTCTCCTGGGCAGTCTTGAAACTCCTGTGCAGCCCTGAGCAAGTCACTTAATCTCATTATCTCAATGAAATGGGGCTGTTGTGTGGAACTGCACGACAGGAGAGTTACGGTGCTTAATTAATTCTGAGTGAGGGAGCCCTTGGGATCCTCTGATGAAAGGCACGGAGCAGCACAACTTCTCGGTGTTATTAGTTCGGGGGAGGATCACCGACGGGTGTTTCTGAAGCTGTGTGTGAGCTGTGCTGTGCAGTAGCCGGCCAGTTCAGTGGAGCTGCTGCGACATGAAACCCTGGAGAAAGCTGTGATTTTGGAGCACTTAGTTGCAGCCGAGCATGAGCTGGTACCGCGGGAACTTACCATTGCACATAAATCTTTAAGGCTGGTTCTTAGGAGTGGCCCACAGCAGCTGTCTCCAGACTAAGCCCAAATGTCCTGCTTGTTCCCCCTTGAGAGGAGGCTAGAGAAGACATTCTTGGTATCCTTTAAGGAAGACAGTGTTATAATATGCAGTCACTGCAAAAACAAAGAGTATTTTGGACTTTTGGTGATTTTTGACTGTATTTGCGGCTCTGAAATCCAGTGCTTTAATATTGATGTAACCAATTTCTAGGTCATGTATGGTGGGCGCGCAATTGATAGCTTTGATCGCCGCATTCTGACCATCTATATGGATGAGTACCTCGGTGATTTCGTATTTGACACATTCCAAGAGTTTCATTTTTATAAAAATGACAAGGTTGATTATAAAATTCCACGGGGGACTGTCAAAGATGACTTTGTTGGTAAGAAGTGCTTTTCCTGCCACATAAGTTAGCATTAAAAAAAAAAAAAGTCTTCTTACCGTCTGCTTACATTTTCTCCGTATGTCCCTTGCTGGATATGAGAAGTTGAAAGGAACCTCGGGCATGGGGTGTGTATGTATTGCAATGTTGTTGTCCACTGATGCTGCTGCTCTTTTTTCATATGAGCAGCCCTTTCTATATGTGAGTGTATCAGTCAGCTCCTCATTTCTCTAAAAAACCCCAATAAAATCCCCAGGTAACCAGCATGTTAATTTTTATATTGTTGATATATTTTGATGAACATTGGGAGTGTGGATGGGGGGTATGTGGGTGAGTATTTCATGCTTTGAATTGTTTATTCGATCCTTGCAGTGTTTCAGTACCGGCTATAGCATTTGATGTTTTTCACGTGGAGCAGAAACACAAATCACTAGTGTATTCTATTTTTCCTGGTAGCTGTGGTTTAATGTGCTGCGTCTTTAGGGAGCATGTTTTTGTATTGCAGAGGCGATAGAATCTCTGCCACTTGCGAATACTCCGGAGGTGTTAGGGCTTCATGCAAATGCTGAGATTGGTTATTATACACAGGCAGTTCGTGAGATCTGGTCTCATCTACTTGAGCTGCAGCCTCAAACAGGTATGTTCTCCACTACTTTGAATTGTTTATAAATAGAAAATAAGCAGGTGGCTCGTTGCCATGTGGACTAGCCGTGCCACAGCCCACCTCGGGGTGCTGGATGCCAGCAGGGACGCCGAGTGCAGAGATGCGTCGTCCCAGGGGCACGGTGGGGTTGTGTCATGGCCTGGGGGGTGAAACAGCAGGGACTTGGAGGTGAGGGAAGCCAGCATGGAAATAGTCCCAACATGTGCCCAGAGGCAGAGCCTGAGGCGTGCGAGGAGTCTTCTGGTGCGAATGTCAGTGCTGCGGAGGGTGAGAGACCTTGATGCCAAAAGCGAGTTGGCTCTCAGAGAATTAATAGTAGAAGGGGTAACCTACACAGTAGCTTTTGTCTCATTACACTGTTTTGATTTCAGGTGAAACTGGTACGGGAATTAGTCGAGACGAATACATTGCAAATGTTGCTAAGGATGTGGAAAATAAAATACCGCAAGTATTTGAGGTTGACCAGATACGGAAACATTTTGGACGGAACATAACCCCTACGACTGTGGTGCTGTTGCAGGAACTGGAGCGTTTTAATAAGCTGATCATTCGAATGGCAAAGTCACTGGCTGAGCTGCAACGTGTAAGTAAAAACACAGCAACTAGACGAAAGCAGTCAGGCTTTACCTGCCCCAGCCCGGCACTCAGCCTTCTCACCATCTTTCCAGGCCTTGGCTGGGGAAGTTGGAATGAGCAGTGAACTGGATGATGTGGCTCGAGCGCTCTTTAACGGACAGATTCCTGAAATCTGGCGGCGGCTGGCCCCCGACACACTCAAAACACTTGGAAATTGGATTATTTTCTTTAGAGCTCGGTATAAGCAGTACAGCACCTGGGTAAGCGAGTGTCTCCAGAAAGCGTTTTGCTCTGTTCATCTGCAAATTGGTGCAAAACTCAGTGACCACACGTGGCCTTAGATGAGTTACTTGTCACTCACTACCGGGAATGATAATGACTTGTTTTGTGACCATAGATGCAAGACAGACAAGCCAGTAGCTGGTCTTTAAGAGCAGTGAGTTCCAGGTGTGGTGGGAAGACCAGGTGCTCCCACCAGGCACTCCAGGGATTCTGTGCTTGCAGGTTAACGATGGTGAGCCGAGAGTGATGTGGCTCTCGGGGCTGCACGTTCCGGAGGCTTACCTGACAGCGCTTGTTCAAGCCACCTGCAGGAAAAACAAGTGGCCCCTGGATCGCTCCACCCTCTACACAGAGGTAACCACGTTCAGGACTGCAGAGGACATCACTGAAGATACTACTCAAGGTAGCTGGTTTATGATTATTTGGCAAAAATAATGAAATGGTTAATTGGTGAGTAAGAAATTGCCGGGCATACTGAGTAAATTGCTTCGATTCTAGCTCCACAGACAATACCCCTGGGTTTGCATTTCACAGGCCACGTAATTTCAGGCTGGGCAGTAGCTGGGTTCTGGTTTTTGCATTTCCTGCAGAGCCCTGCACACACACACACAAACACACACACAGCTGTTGTCAGCTCTTTGCACCAACACACGTGGTCCTGAACCTACGCCTCTCCCTTGCTCGCTCGCTCTGCGTTTTTCTTCATGGCTAGAGTCAGTCCTAGCAGGTTTATAAAGAGCTATTTACAGCACAGATAATATGTTGAAATATATTTAAACAAAAAGTAAATAGAACTATCCATGATTTGGCATGTAAATATATCTTTATGAAATCCTTGTGACTAGCACTGCTCCACTTACTAAATATAGCAAGCCATGGGTACAGGGACAGCTCAGCAATGCTTTGGCATACTAGACATGATTGGGAATGGAGGAGGGGGGAAAAAATCTGATTGTTTTTGCTAAATCTAACTTGCCATTAAAAATCAAAGTTGCCTCAAGGGCTTACCTAGACTATTTTTTTTTATTTACTAACAAACATTTCATCAAGTGGTTGATATTTGTACCAGAACAATTCTAGCCCAACCCTTCACTTCTTTTTTGTCAGAATGCTCTACTGAGCAGTCCCACAGGAGTTAAACAGCTCACTTGCAACTTGGGCAAGTAATTGGAGGATTTAGGGGGAAGAAAACTGCAAACAAATCCATATTTATCCCTAATAATGTTTATCGTATGTAGTGCAACATCAAGTGGTTGATATTTGTACCAGAACAATTCTAGCCCAACCCTTCACTTCTTTTTTGTCAGAATGCTCTACTGAGCAGTCCCACAGGAGTTAAACAGCTCACTTGCAACTTGGGCAAGTAATTGGAGGATTTAGGGGGAAGAAAACTGCAAACAAATCCATATTTATCCCTAATAATGTTTATCGTATATAGTGCAAACGAGACAATTTTAATTAGAAACATCGTAGGTCACAGTAGGTTTGTTACGAACATAGTAGGTTTGTTACGAAAACGAACACCACAGATAAACACAGCTCGGTGTAGCTGTGGTTCAAAATGAAGTGAATGTGGTCATGATGGTATGTGCCAAAGACACCTACTAGAGGAACAACAGTTGTCTTAAACTGATTTTTTTTTCAGTAGCTCGATTTACACAGGACGTTGCTGTTTCTGCCTGTACAGGTTGCTTTGCTTCTGGCCTGTTTCTGGAAGGAGCCGACTGGGACGTGGAGCGCCGCTGCCTCACCAAGAGCAAGCCCGGTGTGCTGGTGGTGGAGTTACCCATTCTGAAGATCATCCCCACGGAAGCGCACAGGCTCAGACTCCAGGTACTGCCAATGAGTTTAACCTCCCTCTGGTTTCACACCCCAGTGGCTGCGAGTCCCGTGCCTCCTAACACAAGCGGCAGCATTTTATCGTGACTGCATCAAGTACGTGGTTTAACACTTCTCCTTCAGTGGCCATCATTACAGTTTTTCTTTTCTAAGGGCAACACTCAAGGGTTAATACCTTTGTTGCCTCTTTTCCACTCAGGCAGCTGGGACACTCTTGTACCCCCACCACTCTTCTAATTATTGCCCATTACCAGTTAGTGACACAAAGGATGTTACATTTACCAGGTGTCAGATAGTTAATACCTGTAACAAAAGCGAATGGCTGAAGATAGGTGTCTCTCCTGGAGTTCATTCTTGTTTCCAGTCACACGCAGTACTTGACGCACTACTCCATGTCCTTCCTCCATGCTCTTTCAGAACACCCTCCGGACACCCGTGTACACAACCTCCCAGAGGCGGAACGCGATGGGCACCGGCCTTGTTTTTGAAGCTGATCTTTACACTAGAAAGCACATTTCTCATTGGGTGCTTCAAGGCGTTTGTCTCACCTTGAACACGGATTGATGGTGTTAGCATTGAACCTTTGGGGCAGGGGTGTGGGTGGGGCAGCGTTCACTTAGGCACACTTGACTTTAAATAGTACAACTACTTGTACAAGCTACTACTATCAATAAACACAGTTGAAGATAAAAGTGTTTTCATAATTTGCATTTCCTTTCAGAAAGGCTCCAAGCTCATCTGTGTATAAGAGGTAATTACTTTGTCTCACACACACACACAAAGACTAAGGCTTGTTAGTATCGTTGTAAGAAATGTTTTTAATTGCCCAGAGCATCACTTCTGTGCTTAGAAGCGGTGCCTTCCATCATCCTCCAGCAAGTGGCAGGGTAGATCAGTCATACAATAGATTGCCATAAAAAAATACGGCAACAACCACCAAAACAACCCGCTGATGGTTAATGCGATACACTTAAAAATAGTAAACCACAGAATAGCAAACTTTCTTTAACCAACCGTTTTCCAGGAACACAGCTTTTCCCTATCCCTCCCCACCAGTCATTAACACAGTCCTACCACACAGCCAGCAAAGCCTGACGCTGAGGAGTGGTTCTTGGGCTTCAGAAGAACGAGTGACGGAGTTGTGAGGGGGCACGTGGATGTTCAAACCCTCTCTGATGGGGACAACCCTGCTGCGAAGGGTCATGCTGCACGGGAGCGTTAGCAGTACCACGGGTAGAACAGCTTTTGTCATCCCGCCAGTGCCTTTGTGGGGAAGCTGACACAGGCAGCGCTCCAAGGCTCCGCCGGGAGACACACACCAACACACAGCTGCAGAAAAGCTGAAGAGGGGCGGCCTACAGCTGGCACGGGAAGGGAGGAGGGCAGGCAGGGATCCTTCATCAGCTTTCACAGAGATTATGCGTTCCAGGTTTTTGAAGGCACATCATAAGCTTAGCAGCATTTGGGAGCCATTGGTTCTTGCTGGTCCTACTCAGAGGCTGCAGACAAGAGTGAAGCAGAGGTGAGCTGGAGATGTTGATCAGAATTTAAGAAAAGTGGGTCAAATTTGCGCTCCTTTCCCAAAATTGTATATTCTCACAGCTCTCGGTATGCCTTTCTTTCCTAGGAAAAAATAATTAAAAAAATAAGGGTCTACCTGTTGCTTACTAGAAAGGAGTAGGGGAACCAGCGCAAGTGCAAGGCAAGTCCATCCCAATCCACAGGCTAAAACTCAAGGATGCCAGGTTCTCCTCCTCTATGAACTGGATACACCACTTAAATTTACAACTAAATACACACACTTCAAAGGGACAGCTCAGGTTTCTAAGCTGGCAGAAGCCTGCACTGTCTGATACCCAGAACAAGACTAAGGTTTTCAAGAAACAAAAATAATTCCTTTACAAAAAAAGTGCAAGTTTAGAGCATGAAGAACCATTTCCATATTGGGAAGCCAGTTACGTTTTCTCCCTGGAAAAGGAGGTCTGAGCCAGTAGGGAAGGGGCTACAAGTGCAGTGGACCGACTAGGGTCAAGTGTGTAATGAAGCCATTCACGTTAAAAACACACACACACACAAAACAAAACCCCACAAACAACTCAGTGTTCATACTCTTTCTATGAGGATCATTAACTCCTCCCCATCTTTTTTTTTTTTTTAAAGCCACAAACTAAAGTATTTAGGATTAATCAAGTAATACTTGCTGGGGCTCTCAGGATTTTGAGAAAGAGAACCTATGAACACAATTTGCAATCAGGAGCATGTGCACATGAAGGAAAAGATGTCCTTTTAGTCCATTGTAAAGTGTGTGTACAGCTACGCTGTTGTCAGTGCTGAGGTGAGAAAGGCTTTGTCGTGGAGATTCGTGTTTGTATGAAGTGCTGACGTACAGAGTGAAGACAAAAGAACCCCTGGTAGGTCAGTGTTAACAGCCAATACATATTGCTGCAGGTTAATTTGTTTTCACTAATATCAATTGCTACCGCAGCCTGTGCCTTTGTCCACACGTGTAGTTACAGTAAATGGAGCAGTGCTCAGAAGCAAGCGGTTGGGTACCCCTGGTTTGGCCACAGCAGTTAGGAGTTAGATACCTTGCCATGTGAACAGTCCTATTAGGTTTCATTAGAGGAGCGTAATCTATTAATGATGTATCTGACGTTTGGCATGCAGGGGGGCATCAAAAGAAACGTTACTGTAGGTGCTCTTTATCCTACAGGATCACAGTGCATAAACAGCAACAGAGTAGAGCATTTCCGTGACTTTGCTCAAACAGTTCTGTCCGTCCCTGAGTGCTTCCTGACCACTTTGCTTCCATGGACCTGATCCACCGCCAGTGTCTCGACCTCTGGCTGGGGCTGGGCTGGCGCGACGTGGTGGATGCGATGCGCCACCCCGATGTGCGCCTTGTGCGGCTTCTCGCGGGCTGGGCTGTGCGACTCTCCGGATGCACGATCTGAAGCGATAGGTGGAATAACCAACGGCCTCTCCTTAATAAGATGCACCTCGGCTGTTTCCCTGGCCAAGAGAAACGGGGTGGGATCGGGCATGGCATCTACGGGCTCTCGGAGCAGCAGCTTCCGACTCTCTGACCCTATTCTGTAGGCCTCTTCAAACTCGGGGTTGAGCGGGGTTGACAGACTCTTCTTCATTCTGCGGCGTGGAGTCTCCGGCAGTTTGTCTTTGGGAGGGGAGGGCTTATAGCCGGACAAGACGGGACTGCCAGAAGGGGTCCCCTCCGAAGTCCCACTTGAGCTCATCAGCTTCTTCTTCGTCGCGTGCAGCTGAGAAGTTAAGTAAGCGATAGTGCTCGCTCTCTGCTCTAGTTCACTTGACAGCATATTGAGCTTATGGCTTTTCATTTTTAACTCTTCCAAATACTTCTTTTCTCTTTCTTTAATAGTGTTTTCCAGCACCATTATCATCGCATTCTTTTGTTCAAGTTCTTTCAATAATTCATTATTTTCAGCCTCTTTGATTTTCAGCTGAGCTTCGAGCTCTTCGCACTTTCTTTTAAGTTCTTCACTTCTTGAACTACCGTTTTCTAGAAGAATAGGAAAAGCAGAAGTGTTTCAAGTTAACGATAGCCACTAAGTAAAATAGTGCAATAGGGTTCCTTCTGCCATCCCAAAAGCATGAGAGAAATCCCCAATGAGTTTGAGCTAATACTTTTAAAATTACTTAATCTTCAGAAGGTTACTCCCGGGGGATATTTTATTCCTGTGCTTCACCTGTTGATAACCTGAAATAAGGAGAACCTAGTGTTTGTACACACGCACAAAAAAGTAAAAGCTTTGTGGTGTAATTACAGTACCAGCTAAGTTTTAATAGTAGTTTCTCACTCTTCTGCCCCTAATAAAATTCCTGTTCCGCGTTCCCATAGAGTATGCAGGGAATGGAGGAGTCAGCAGATCTACACTCTGTTCCTGGCTCTTTCAAAGATTTCCTTGGTAAAGAACTTGTGGCATTTACTTTGTAAATAACAGTAACTCCAGAAAGTAGAAAACTACTCTTACACCTTTAGAATTTATAAAGTCAGCAGCGCAAGTGCAAAGTACTCTCACCTACATGTAATGGAGACAATACAAACACTGGAAAAGATGAGGAATTTAACATGACCATTAAAAGAAAACTGCTGTGTATTCCTTACCCGACAAGTCCGAACTCTTTACAGTCAGCTCATAGGTTAAATCTGAGGAAAAAAGTTGTTTATTTTTATTAGAACATCATCATCTGCCCCATACCCCACCTGGTGAGCACATTTACAATGGCATGTGTCAATAAAAATGTAACTAACTCCTCCCCCCACCTGAAGCAACAGGAGATCCACTGCAAGATACTGAATCTGCAAAACAACTGCAACTATCAGGTGACACGTTGGGGTTTTGTTTTCTTAATTAAAAACCCATCTTGGCTTAATGATCACACATTTGTGCCCAAGACACATGCTGATCACCCTAAGCACAGCCAGTGGTGGGCTTTGTTGCTGAGGTATCACTGCCAGTGTCACTCTATGCCTATGAAAAGAATTAAGCACCAAACCGGCGTGCGCATCCTCTCCCAGGTACCTGTGCAGTGCTGCTGCAGGCGGCGGATCTCGGCGTGCAGGCCCTTCAGTGTGTTGGCGTGTTCCCGCTGGAGAAACAACAGATTCTTCTGGGCACTCTGTAGCTGGTTCTCCAGGTTTGAAGCCGCCATCCTGACATGCAGTCACACTGTCTGGGAACAGACACAGAACTGTAACAGCGCGTTATCTTTCACGTGCAAAGTTCCTTGCTCTGTGGCTAACAGCTGAATTCTACTGTTGATGAATTGACAGGCAATCAAGCAAATGCAGCAAAAGGTTCTTGACTATTTCAATTAGAAGTAAGTGCCCTAAGTTCATAGAAAGCCTAATTATACTCTAGGCCAGAGCAGTGCAGGGAACTCATTTGTTTGGAGTTAACACATTTAAAGGATTAACTTTAGACAGACTAAATCACTAATCCTGTTACAAGATAAAAGTGGAGTGCTGAGAAGTGGGCTAGTATGTCCCTCTGTCTTGTTGGACACAGGAAGTAGTAACATCCCTGGACAAGAGCAAGGAAGCAAGTTCTAAAAGACACCATCTCTAAAGAGAAAGGCAGACTAGGGAGTCTAACACACAGCTGGGTGCAGCAGTACCGGCACCGAAGTGGCTGCTTTGGGGCACCTTGGCCACGACGCGCTCATGGGGCCCCGCATGGCAGAAAGCTCTGGCTGCTGCCGGCTGCCATCGCGCTCCCTTGGCCGTGCTGGTGCAAGATCCCACGCCCCAAGTGTGCCCTGTGGCGCTGGCGACCGGCGTTCCGCACAGCACCGATGAGATGTGACAATTGACAAGGGCAACGTTTCACTTAGGGAGAAAGAGATTTTTCTTGCTCAGGTTAGGAGTAGCTGGAACTCTGCTAGATTGATGGGTTCTCCTTGCAAAACAGCCTTATAAAACCAGGCTCAAAATGGTTACGTGTAATACTGAGAGGCATCCCTGAAGGCCCCTGTGCTGCCAGTGTCAGGACTACACCTGATAGGGCAACGGTGGTTTCACGTCTACCCCCAGGCCAAACTGCCAAGAAACATCGCTCTGGCAGAGCTGGAGCCAGACTCCCCAGCAAATTCACTGACACAGAGGTAAAAATAACTTCTGCGCCAGGCGCAGCCAGATGCTTCCTGTGGAGAAGTGCAGGCGGTGTCTGTGACATTTAAAGGAGAACCTGGAGGAGCATCCAGAGAAGCACAAATAAGAGTCACCATTCCCTGGTGATCTCTAGTCACCAAGTCTGTCATGACACGATTTTGCTTAATGTCCGTTTTCCTAGTGAAAACTCCCAGTGTACTAATGAGAAGCAGCAATGCTGACAGTACGCAATCCTCCTGCAGCCTCAAGGCACAGAATCACTCAGGTATAGTCTTAGCAGCTGAATTTCACTGTGTGATCATTGCCCCTCTGCACAAACCCAGAGCCAAGCTGCTGCCCTGCTTGGCCCTGCGCCACCCATGGCTAGTTTATAGAGGCTGCCAGGTCTACGCTGGAAGAACTTTCCAGAAACACGTCCTTAATAACTCAACAGTACTGTACTTTAAATTTCTTCAGCAAAAAAAGCTGTCATGCTTGGGAAGCTTTCTGAAAACTCCGAGATTCTTCTTGGGCAGTTCAGGAGCACAACAGCTGCACAAAAATAGGCACACACAGAAATTCCAGCGAGCCAGGCTCACAGGGACACCAGAGTGATGGGCACTAACGCATCCTGGGTGGGAGAAATACTTTCTGGGGCCCCAGCTCGCCAACCACGAGCGAGGAGGAGAGCTCTGTCCCTGCACCCGGCTGAGGATCTGGGCTGTCAGGGCCGGGAGCCCCGGCAGCTCTCGCCTCCGTGGCGTGGAGGGCTGATGAAGCGGTTGTGGTGCCAGGTCACACCCCGCTGACGCACAAGGAGAAGCATCGGCTTTGTCATTAGGGCATGAAAGGCTAAATTCAGTTATCTGTGTAGTTTTTTAAAAACAATTACAGTATTTAGGTTACAGAGATAAGTAAAGAATTAGGACTCCAGTTGCCTGGACAACCAGCTGCAACGGCATTAAAACCAGGGGCTGCAATTACGGGACCACATGTTGTGCATAAGAGTCCTTAATTCTGCCTCGGGGCTGCCTCACGGGCACCTTCAGTGGGTCATCTTGCCTGTCAAGTGTTCTCCACAGGGCTCTTGTTCATATGTAGTTCTAGGATGCAAATTTGATTCTACAAATTTAAAATTGGTAGAGCACACACTCAGAGAAAGGAACACTTGTCATTCCTCAGCCCTGCATTTAATTTTTTACTTTTTACTCTTCAAAAGAACTGGAGACTCAGTGCTCCCACACCTTGGTAAAGCCCTGAAGCACCTCAGGGTGGGGAGGAAATCACACACGCATAAACGTTTCCTCATTTCATGTGTGACCTTAATTGAATCATCAACTGACTTATTGCTACAGAAGCATGTATTTGATTGAGAAGAAGTAAAATACTTTTTGAGGAATCCAGTTCCGTGCAAGGAGCAAAACAGAGCTCTTGGTTACTTTATAACAAAGGTCAAAGACTACATTCAGTGCTCAAGAAGAATGAGGGTAACGGTACCAACTTGTGCTTTGCTGAGTGGAGGGGGTCATTTTGCAACTACCATCATTAGCGAACAAGCAAAAATTACAGACCAAAAATATTCTATGAAGAAGTTTCTGGGTTGGCTAAATCAGAAATAAACTGAGTTGCTCTATGACTTCTGAAGAGCAGCTCATCCGAGCTGTGACTGCTGTCCACACCCCGGCAGCTGGGTGGGGACACCCCATTACTGCTGCCCCTGTACCCCCTCAGTGCCCGGGGGTCAGAGGGCTGCTGGAGGATGGGCCACACGGTCCCCAGCAATCCCCGTGGGGCACCATTTGATTTAAGGACTGATGATACCCGAGCTGTGTTACATTTGCAAAGTGACATCACCGTCTGTGCAAAGCCGACTTCAGACAGACAGACAGAAGCTTTCCTGAATCATCCAATTTCTAAAGTGATCATTATACTCCTACCAGCTGAATACAACAGCAAAACAAAGCCTCCAAGGGTCCATGCCTCCCCCTCTCAGGCTGCAGAGCACACAGAGGCTCAGAAGGGATTTTTGATGAGGAAATATATTCCTTTCTAAGCACTGACAGTGCCAGGTGAAAGAACAGCTGACATAATATCCCAAAGCCTTTACTACCCCAATGGGTACTAATGCTGGCTTCATGCCTCTGACTATAATCTGATCAGAAAAGCTGCATCACCAGCAACAAACAGCAAGTGTTTATAACTCAGTCCTTGCACATAAACAAGTTTTTCCAAAACTAGTTTCACATGTCAGGAAAAGCAAAACAAGGCTGTCACTACTAATCGCTTCAATTGTTTTTTCACCTTGATCTCTGGCATCTTAAAGATCACACTAGGATTACCTATTTTGAATTAAAAAACCCCCTCACAAACATCAAACAACAAAATCAGAGGCAGGCTAACTCTACAGGCTTAGGAAGAAAATAAAAATTACCAAGACCAGAGCATCACCCTCCCTGCAGCAGGGGTAAGTTAATCGGTGCCAGCGATTAAATCAACCCACTATGAATTTTAGCTGCGGCCCCTCTGCACTAAGTAGTTTCACTCCTCGGAGGATGAAGGCTCGCAGGGCTGACTTTCCCAAAAGCCGGCTGCAGCCTTCCTGCGCTTTTCTTCTGCCCACAGCCTGCTGGCTGCCTGTGCTCTCCTCTCCTGCAAGGGAAAGGGAAGGTGACTGTGGAACGGCCAAAGCTTCCACAGAATTTATGGGCAGCAGCTTCAGTTCCAACCCCGGTCTACCCTACCCAGGGTGTTTTTTTTTATTTTGCCCTTTTTTTGTTTCTTTTTTTTTTTTTTAAAGAAGTGGCAGCATGAAAATATGCTGATTTATGACTGGTTAGTCATTTCATGCAAATAGCTTTCTTTGAGTAATTGTATTATACACTGAAGGCTTTCATTTCTGCTTTCCCCACTTCCAGTCAGGTTGCAAATTTTGTGCATTTCATAGCATTTTGCTACTAATGAATCTCCTCATTTATTTAGGTCATGTAAAGATCAAAGGACACCACACAAAAATATAAACTAGTTTTTAAAGACAAAATCACTGACAACTGTCACAAAGTTAAACCATGCATAGAAATTTGAGAAAGCTACTATAAATTAACAGCACCCCTTTAATTCTACATTCTGAAGTATACGAGTAGTGAAAGCTACTGCAGTTCCATAAAATGTTTTATTTAACGTTAGTCTCAAATTTGTCAGCAGCTCATCGGATATGATGGAAGTGAGACCTACTGACCCAGGCAATCTCAGTCAGAAAGACTCTGGAGGTGTAGAGGGAAAGGAATAAATATAATAAAAAAGGATAGGGCTACAAGCAAAAACTCAAAGAAAATCAGCAAAATGCAGAAGCCGACTAAGCCCTTAATAGCACAGATGAGCAACCTTTGCTCTCTCACCATGGAAATCAGCGGGACGGAGCAACGAGCCGCTGGCTGGATAAACGAAGCCAACGCTAGGAAGAAAGCTGGAGCTGCATACGCCACAGAGCACTTACGTCACTATGGTTTCCCCCCCTTTCCCCTTGTCTCCAAAGCAACTTTTTATAAAAAGTTTGCTATATTCTTATACAAATGGATTTGCGCAACGCAGAGCTAGGCAAACTCCCACCAGGAATGCATTTGTCATTTGATAAGGATGTTAAAACATTAAAAAGGGGCGTTGCAGTGTTCAACACCTCCCCTCTCGCAGTAAGACTTGTGCTAAACCTCGCCAGGGTCCGACCTGTCCCAGCGACACAGCTCCGTGCGGGTGGCACGCTGCCTGCCGCCTTTCCGACAGGCACAGCTGCTCAGGATCGCCACCAGCGCCAAACGTTTCTGATACGGCTCAAAGTCCTCCAAGCAATGGATTCACACTTTCTCTTTAATACAGCCCAAGGAACAAACAGAACAACGTTCCCTAGGGAACGTTCAGTGCAACATGACAATAGTTCCACGTCATTATTGTCCCAATAACTCGCTTTCGTATTCTTTTAGTTTGTGCGTTTTAAGCCAAACAAAATTAGCAGTTCTTTCCTGGTGACAGCCGAAGGGAAAAAGGAAATGTGCCACTCTCCTCCCAGAGGAAGGATACGA